GCACTTCGTGGGTGCCCGGTATGTTGCGGCTGCGTGCTTCGGTGTTGTCCAAGACCTGGTTGCAAGGCGGAGTCGGGCAGTGGGAACCGTTGAGTCTGTACTGAACCGGTGTCTTAAGGGGGAGCTCGGAAGGCGCAGAGTTTACTAGGATCGATCATGCGGCTTCGGGCTATTCGGGTGTTAGGGTTTCGTGGTTCCCAAGCTACGTTTGGAGGAATCCCGCCTTTAGCGCCGCATCGGAGAGGCCCGGGACGAAGCGGACCTTGCTGAGGTCGCCCTTCACTGCCTTGATCTCGTTGTTGATGTCGCGGTAGTGGCCCCTGTGCAGCCCCTGCTGGATTGCGCGCAGTCCCTCGAGGATCTCCTTGCTGGTCAGCCTTCGTTGCTGCTTGCTGTTCTCCTCGGTCACGCTGTACATGAAGGCGTTCTGCTGCGTGTTGACCATGGTTCGAAACAGGTAATTCCAGAGGGTGAAGCCGAAGGTCCAGTCTCGGCGGAATTGAGTCTCGGCTCGGCGCTGCATGGCGGCCGCCCATGCGTGGATGCCCACGTGGGGCGCCTCCGGGTTTCGGATCTTGCGCCGCCCGGCGTGCTGCTCCTCGTTGCGGCGGGCCGCTGCTGCGGTGTTCTGGACGTCCGGGCACGCGGTGCCGTGCTTGAAGCAGAAGCAGAAGGCCGTGGCGAAGTAGAGCGGCTGGAACTGGTCCACCAAAGCATTGCCCGTGCGCACCTCCAGGGTTTCGTGGACTCCCTCGTTACTTGAACGGAGCTGAGTTTCCAGGTCGTTCAGGGCGTTCCTGGCCACGGCGTTCTGATCCTCCCGGTCTTGGCTGCAACCTTCCGGAACCACGGCTCGCGCGCGCTGCTTGCTGAAGATGGCCCCGGCGCGCCGGAAGTCTTCTTCCCGCCCGTCCGTCGGCGTGGCCGCCTTCTGCGGCTGCAGCTTGTGGTCCGTCTCTTCTTCTTCCGTGAGGCTGCTGATGACCTTCAGCACCTCTGGCGGCACGCCGTCCTCCGGCAACCGCGCCGCGGCCGCGCGGACGGCCCCCTCCTGGAGCTGTTGGAAAGAGGGGTGCCCCGAGCGTTTCATGTCGAGGATCAGCTGCACCACCACGTCTCTGCGCACCGTCGCTTGGTGGAGCAAGGTCTTGATCTCCGCGTCCGTGGTCTTCCCGGTCTTGTTGGTCTTCAGCTGCACGCGCACGACGCCGGAGGCTGTCTCCTGCGCGCGGTAGCTGCGGGGCGGCTGCGGCTGCGGCTTCCTCGGGATTCTCTGCGTCTCCTCTGTTCTCCTCTTGTCTGCCGCCGGCTGGTGCTGCTCGTGCGTCGTGCGCCTGTAGCTGCTGCAGCAGGTCTTCCCAGGGCAGCGGGAAGGTGAGGGCGTTGCCTCGTGCTCCCAGCCGGTGCCGGGCGCGGTGGGCTTGCTCGTCCAGCGTGGTGCCCTCGCTGCGGTGTCGTGCTTCCATGGACATGCAGACGAGGGTGGTCACGCAGGGGCTGGCGCAGATCAGTTCCATGACGGTGACCTTGTGGGTGCGCAGCCGCTCCGGCGAGAAGTTGGTCCACATGTCGTTGCAGAGGCTCAGCGGCGGCAGCTCGGCTTTGGACAGGTGTTCGAAGCAGTCCGTGCAGAGGGGCACTTCTCTGGCAGTGTTCCAAGCTCCTTGAACACATCAACGACATTCCTGCCCTCAGGACTTTCTTCGACCATTGTATGTTCCAAGGGTCAAGACCAAAATCAACTCAGCTTCGCCATTTGTTACCGCAGTTGCGCAATCTTAGCCGGCAGTGTGACGGACGACACCAGCATGCAAGCTGGGGCAGAATCGCAGGAGGATGGGCCACATCCCAAGAAACCGCTTATCCCGTCCATCTCTGCCGAGAGTGGGCCTACTTCCTTGTCCAACAACTCCTGGAAAGTGGTGCCAAGCCTATGCCCGTGAGCCTTGCAGAGGTACAACCAGAATCACTCCTGGCATCCCGTGCTGCTACTTCCTCCCAGGCAGGGAAGAAACCCCCACCTTTAGTGCCCGAGTTCAAAGCCTTTGCCCGTGTGACCGGCCCCCTCTCTTCATTACCGTCAGGTAAGCTTAAAAGCGGCCTGATAATCAATCCGCCCTTAAAGTGCACTCCTGCGCTCTCTAAACTCCCTGCAGGCTCCAAAGTGATCGGGCCGCCCGTGATACAAGGGGGTGTTGAAGCCGACCCGATTGATAACCAAGCAGAGACATCCTCTGAGTGCAAACGTTTGCATAAATTCCCTCCTGATCCTCCGCCTGCTCCTTTCAACCCAATCCCTAGTGTAGGCGACTTAGGGCTTAGTCCCAACGGTTTCCCCGTGTCAGAACGTGCTGCGCCCTCTGCTCACGATGAGCACTGCTCCTCCTCATCTTTTGGACACCTAGGGTTCAATGCTCCAGGGTTGCCACCTGTGCCAGCATAGCCAATTCCTGTTCGTTGCAAACCAAAAGCCTCGAACAAAAAGCCGAGGTCAACACCCGCGACTCGCTCTGTGGTTGAAAGTTGCGAAGAGCTTGCAACCCACCTTCTGGCTAAAAGCAGCCCATTGCAGAAATCTGACGTGGAACGCATGTGCCGCATGCGCCGCCTTCTGCCCCTACAATCCCCCCATCAAGGGGAAAGCCGAAACGGGGGCGCCTTTTACATAGGCATGTACTCCAAAGGTGCCGGGATAGCAGGCATGCGCACCTCCTCAAGGACGCACCCCGAATGTGTCAAAGTCCTTACGAGATATGTGAAAGAACAATCCAATTACATGGCCAAGCCTCCACCTTTCACGTCAGCTGTTGTCCTCGTCAACACCTTGACTGGGATCCATCGAGACAATATGAACAGCTCAGAACCGAATCTTCTTGTGGCGGCCAGCCATTTCGGCAAGGGTGGTGTATGGATTGAGGACGACTGGGGGCAGGAAATCCGTGAGCACAACGGAACGTTCGTTAGTGGGACAGTTGTCCGTTTGATGGCAAACCAATTCTCATCCCAGCCAGAGACAAACTTCATGGCACCGAGCCTTGGGAGGGTGACAGGATTGTCATCTCTACTTATGACCTGAAAGCCAAAGATCGCCTCAGCAATGAGGACACCCAAGCCTTGATAGGACTAGGGTTTAGGCTTACCCCCGTAGACCTCCGCAACCACTCAATTATGGTTGGGATGCCCTGGGATCCGTTAGAGTTTGTCCAAAAAGCGTGCGAGGCACGGCACCCGCGACACATGCTTGAGGGCGTCCCTGGCATCTTGGCAAGGGTCATTGCGCAGAACAGCCAAAAATCAGCAGAGACCCTGGGTCGGGAAAGAACCGCCACGATGAGACATTGGGTGTCCCACGCGCGAGACTGCGCACGTGAAGAGGCGGAGTTCAAAGCAGAACTACCCGATCACTGTCAGCGGGTCCTGAGCCAAAAGAGGCTCATCGTCTTTAGGGACATGTTGAACGAAGCAGGGCACGGAGATGAAAGCCTTACAAAAGAGCTATCGCAGGGATTCCGCTTAAGCGGCCCAATTCCCGATTCACACATTTTCCGTCCTCGCCGAACCACCGCATCCTTGACGCTTGATCAGCTGGCCTCGGCCTCGCATCTCCTCCGTGAACACATAATCAAGGGCGTGAAGAGCTCAGGCGACCGTGAGCTGGACAAGGCCACACATTCAGCAACACAAGAAGAATTAAAGAGGGGTTGGTTGTGGGGCCCCATTAGTCCGGATAGTCTCCCTAGTGACGCCGTAGTCACACGCAGGTTTGGAATCTGGCAATCTTCAGGGGGTTCCAGGAAGTGCAGACCAATTGACAACTTCAAAGAGTCCCTGGTCAACTTGACCACTTCTGCAAACGAGAGCATCACTATCCATGGAACAGACACGATCGCAGCTGGGATCGCACTTGCGATGTCCAAAAACGCAGAAGCTGGATGCCCGCAAGACCTTCTTATGAAGTGCTATGACTTGCGCAAAGCATACAAAAACGTACCACTGCACTCGTCATCCTTGAATGAAAGTTTCCTTGCAGTATTTGATCCGAATGACGGCAAATGCAAGATTTATGGACAATACGTCATGCCCTTCGGGGCTCGCAGTTCGGTTCATGGATTTTGTAGGGTTAGTGCTGGGATCTGG